GTCTCTGATCATCTTGTCCTTCTCTCTTCTTGCCTTTTACTATACTTCCTTTCAGAGATAGGGCACCCGTAACAGTATTAAAAAACCAACCAACCAAAAAAAAAAAAACCCCAAGAATGACTGCATCACACATTTAAACAGAATACAAACAGGACAATTCTGGAAGCTACACAGCAGCTTTCTCAACTATGCAGGTGTACCTTAACTTGCTTTAGTCCATTTGAGATTTGATTTTATTTTTTAAAAGATGCAGCATATCCAAATTAGAGAAGACAAAAGACAATATCTGACATATCAGGCCTGTATTAATAGCAGAAATCAAACATATTCTGTCTGAATGTATCTGTGCATCTGTCAGAGCTAAGGAAAAGTCAGTTTGACGAATGTAACCAGAATGCACCATCAGTAATATACCATAACAATAAATAGTTCAATTCCAGCCAGGCAACACTTTTGCTCTCAATGTCTAGGTCCACCATGAATAACAGAACCACATCCAAATGCATGAAAGTAATTTATATAGCAATTTTTCTTCAGTTTGCATATGACATAACAAAGTTGCTTCCCTTTCACGTCTCCAAAATAACTTCTATGCTGGTAAATATTCAATTGATTACCTGTCTCCAAATCGGCAGGAACCTGTTTTAATATAGAATGGGCAATTCGCTCTATCCTTCTCTGTTCCTATATTCTCTGGGGGCTCTGGGTTATGCCAGGTCACGCCATTCTCCAGCTGTGGAAAAAACATTAAAACACACAGAAGTTAGAAAAGAATAAAAAGATGTAATGTCAAAATAAAACCACCAGTTAAATCCACATGCAGTTATGAGCACTGTGTTACTACAAGGCAAGCTGAACCTATTTTAAGCATTGTTTTATAAAGCTGCCCAGTGCCTTAGGTCTCTGGTGATGGAATCCTCTTTTCTTGATAATTGTTCAGTTTTAAGAACAAGTCTATATTCATGATTTCTTTTTAACAACAACAAGAATCACCAAACTGGATGTCGTCTTTTGCTAAAAGAAAAGCTTCCTCAGATTTTATAACCAAAGGAGTTGCGATAGTATTTGCTCCTCAAACAATGACTTCATTTGTCACTTACGAGAATTTAGTGGTGGATTTGGTAGCGTTAGGTTAATGGTTGGACTGGATGATGTTAAAGGTCTTTTCCAACCTAAACGACTCTATGATTCTAATTACAAATATTGTGACAGATTCTTTCCATTCAGTTAAGCCTGTTACCTATTTCACGCCAGGACCCAATGAGCAGCACTTTATATACCTGGCAGACAGAAAGCTAGAACTATTTACTTATTTGTCTTTGCAACAGCTCAAAGCTCAGTAAGGTTATCACTATCACTTTTTATGCAGCTAGAAAAGACTAAAATAAAAGTAACCTGCCCAAGGCCAGAATTAGAAAAAATTAAATTCATAGTTAGCACTGGAATCAAAAGCCTCCGTACGGCAGTATCTTGGGCCATTAAGATTTCTATAATTTAAAATGGAATTATCAATTTGCAAGCATTGACTGACTACAAACAAAACACACATTTTAAAAAGGGAATTTTCATTTTGTTAGCCAAAAGATCTGTAAAGCTGACTAGCCTAAGTTCTCATTTTAAATCAGCTGAAAACTCTATTTACAAGCAGCATTTGACCCTGCTACCAGTTCTGTTCACGACTCAGCCATAATTTTCTTCAACAAAACATCACTGTCATTTCAACAGTGTCAACAGTAAGTCACTGAACCCTGAACTGATACTATAATGAAGTCTTAACATACCATGTTTCTGCCTACTCCCCTGCAGAAATGGCTGCTAATAAATACATCTTGTGCTCTGGGCAGGTAATAGTTCAGAGCATTTTTCTACCCATATTATGAAATAAAGAGTTAGATTTCCTACCTAAAAAAACTGTTTAAACATAATTTGGAACTGAGTGCAACTCCAATGTAGCTATGGCAATTGACATACAATGGGTTAATTAGGTTAAAACTTAATTTTCAGATTCACGCAGTGGTTTAAGCAGAGCAAGAATCTTCACAAGTTTAACTGTATGACAGGCTGTCCTGGTTTTGGCTGGGATAGAGTTATTTTTCTTCCTAGCAGCAGGCATAGTGCTGTGGTTTGGATTTAGTATGAGAAGAATGTTGATAACACACTGATGTTTTAGTTGTTGCTAAATACTGCTTATGCTAGTCAAGGACTTTTCAGCTTCCCATGCTCTGCCAGGTGCACAAGAAGCCGGGAGGGGGCACAGCCAGGACAGCTGATCCAAACTGACCAAAGGGCTATTCCATACCATATGACATCATGCTCAGTATGCTGGGGGGGGTTGGCCGGGGAGCAGCGATCGCTGCTCGGGAACTGGCTGGGTATCTGTCAGCAGGTGGTGAGCAATTGCATTGTGCATCACTTGCTTTGTATAGTAGTATTATTATATTGTTGTTATTATCATTATTATATTGTTGTTATTATTATCATTACTATTTTACTTTATTTCAATTATTAAACTGTTCTTATCTCAACCCAGGAGTGTTTCTCACTCTTACTCCTCTGATTCTCTCCCCCAACCCATTGGGGCAGGGCGAGTGAGCGAGCGGCTGTGTGGTGCTTAGTTGCTGGCTGGGGCTAAACCATGACACAGGGATAAAAAGCCAAATTATTCTTTAAGGCAACAGGAATGACTGAATTCATCCTCTCTTAAGATTCAAATGAAGACTGCACTTTTCTTTACTACACACTACCAGCTTGAGATCCATGCTCTTCCAGGTACCGGAGCAGTCAGCTTCTCCCTCCCCCACCTTTCTTTTTTTTTTTTTTTTCTTAAGGATCTGTGCCCTCCTCTACTGCTGAATCCTTCTATTTACAGCCTGCCATCTGCTTAAAAAGACAAGTTTGTCTTGCCACCCAGAAGGACTGACAGATTTATTTAGAATTCTAATTCACAAATAAACCATCATGCATAGTGTTTAACAGCACACAGCAGTATTCCCAGATTCATTTTGACTCAGATCTCCTGAACAGGAACGAGCATGCACAACTGCACTGCCACCAACCAGCCAGAAACACACTTAATTATGTTCCACCCAGTAAATAATTGTTTACAGCTCATGCAAGCCACTACATATTAAATTTATTCAGGCCATTAGGTTCTTGAGAGCAGATGGACAACATGCTAGAAGGCAAACACCGGATGGCCATTAAATTACTTTTCAGTTTGTTTTCAAAAAGTCTCTGAGCATACCTGGCTTTCAGCTTGATCCAGCATCCTCTGCACAGCTGCCTATAAACGGTGCAAACACAGGACTAGTGAAAACCCTGAGGACACGCAAAACATCTGGTTTCTTTAGTTAAGAACCTAATTCACAATACTCAACACTTATGTGTAATAAAAGTTTGATGGCGTTTGCTTTAAAAAACAAAGTTTTACTTCTGCTCTGTAGCAATTCATGTACTACAAAGCTGTTAAAGGATACATCAGACAAGACCCTCATGCAGATGATTTTTCTCATCTAAATGCTAGACAACTTAAAAGTTTCATTTTCTTCTTTTTCAAAACTATAATTGAACTACTGAATACTGAAATTATCTCCTGCGTTAGTACTCAGTGTGGTTACAGTTACATTCATAATTTAGTTGCACTAAACTTTTTATCTTAGAACATTCTATGCATTCTATGTTAACACACACAAAAACACACTGCTTAGTGAGCCTGTTAAAGCAAAACATATAACTGTTAAGAAACTTTAATATCGTAAGTTCAATATATCTAGCCTTCCAAATACAGGAAAACAATGAGGATATTCTTTCCCTTCCTTCTCCTAAGTGGGCTGAGCAAAACAATAAAGTCACTCTCCAAAACTGGACGGAAATTAATTCTAACAAATTACTCTAAGGAGTTCCAAGAAAAAAGACATTTAAACTTAACCAATACAAGAAAATATGCTAGCATTGTTCTAATTTGGAAGAGAACTAATTAAATTTAAAAAGAGGAAGAGCAAATAAAGATAAAAAATGCAATCCAAGATGAGGACCCAGACAGCAATCTGGTAGTAATCATCAAGTATGTCAGATATTATCCACCCTATTAAATAAATAAATAAATAAATAAAAATAAAAAACCCAAGAAACACCAAACCAGAAAATCTGTCTTCTCATCTTAGGGAAGAAAAAAAGATTTTTTTTTTTTAAATCAGGAAGTCAGAATTTGAACAAACTGCTGTTTCAAGAGACAGGCCAAATCAATTGAACAATTCTCCGCTGCTGAAATGGGTGGCTCCACTCCCAGCTGGGTACTCAGTTTCCCTCTGGGTGTCAGTGCCCTCTGCGAGCCAATCTAGCTCACTAAACCAGTAAAACAGTAACCCAGGAAAAAAACAATACAAACAAACCAACAACCAATGAAAAAGAAAGCGGCTTCCATGTAGTTCAGGGAACCAAATTAGCCCACTGAGGGCTTGGACAAACGCAGGCACAAGGAGAGGGAAGGAACCAAAGCCCGCTGTTAGCATGGTTCAACTCTTGCAACTGTATCTCAACCTTAAATAAAGGATGTGACCATAATTTTCCCTCCCTACACTGCAAAGAGAGAAATGGATACTAAGCGCAAGAGGAAGTAAGACAGGAAATACAACTGCTATTCTTTTTCATTCCTCATGCAAACGTTATGCCATCACTGACACAACCAACTATTAAATGCAGAAGACAAAACTGTTTGCTCCTGTCCCTCCTCCTGCTGTGGCTGCCAGACACAGTGGCAAGACACGTCCCAATGAAATGACTGGAATCTTTTGTGATTGTGGAGAAGCTAAAATGACCGGATCCTAGAAAGCTGCAATCGCCCTTTACTGGCGATAGGCCAGTCCTCACGTTGGATTTCTGTACAGGACATCTTACATCAAGTCATTCAACTTCTAAAACTTAAGAAGAATGTATCGTTAGTAGAAATGTTATCAATGACTAGTATCTTCAGTATCATTTTTTCTCCACCCAAGGAGCTCTGAAAAAAGATACGTCCTGTTGGATGAGTCAGGTAAAGAAGAGCTGTAATATATCTTTTGATTAAGAACTGTGTTAAGGAACAGCAGCAACATAATTCCATATTCCATATCCTCATTGGGCATTTTCTTCAACACTAACTGTGTTCAGCTGGGACATTAAGTAAGGATTATCTTTAATGCATGATGCAAAAAGTGCCTATCAGAACCTGCATTCACAGTGTGCCTTTGTATTTAACTGATGTAAAAAATTACATACTACGAACAACAAGACGCGTTAAAACTAGTTACCCTTCTAGGTACACAGATTCACTAGATTCTCTTTAAGTGTGAATAGTTTCAGGAATTTAGACAGAATGGAGAGAAGAAGTAACTAACACATTTACACATTTGCAAATTAGAATAAAATCCCTCTTCAACATGCATTGACTGTTGCATCTGATAATGTAAGAGGATATGGAACATGTTTATCCTCCCACTGCCAGGAATCACCTCTCTCTCTCTCTTCTCCTGTTGCTTCTGCTGTGCTGCTTCTCTCTCTTTTCTTTGCTGCTCTTCCCATTCTTCTCTGATCTTCCTCTTTATGATAAAAAAATATTTTAAAAAATTATTTAAGGAAACAAATGCTTTATAATAAGTCAAATTCGAAACTATCATGTTGTATTACAACTCTTTGACCATTAAGTTTTCATCTGGTCACAAGCAACTAAAAAAAAGCCCTTTTGAAGAGTCTTTTTTTTTTTTTTTCCAATTTTGCTCTTCTAGAACGGAAGAAACAAGAGCTTATGCTTTCAAACATATCAACATCAAGAAAACTATGGCCACTACAGAACAGTAAAAGATATGACACTGTCTACCGTATTGCCAGACACAATGGTAACACTCAGTTTCTACATCACCTCTTCTTCTTCTTGACGTTTTTTTGCAGCCTCTTCTTTTTCTTTCTTAAGCTTGAATTCTTCTTGGGCCTTTTCTTCTCTCAGCAACCACTGCTCATGTAGTTTTTGTCTACCGAGGAAACCAGATACCACTTAAGACAAAATTTAATGACTACCCAGAACTGACACAATTGCCACACATACAATTCAAATTTATTAGTTCAACAGTAACTACAGCTTATCTAATCTTTAAAAGAGAAAATTCCATAGGAATAATTCAGGCTTTAGAGAAAAACTGTGTAGCCTGAAATATACAAAAAGGATTATATTTTACAGAACATATTGGAACTTTTCAAAGTATCAGAAATGGAATTGATTACAAATGTATCTACTACATATATGCCATTTTCTAGACTTTTCACCTTTCTGCTTCAAGTTTTTTTTCTTCTTCTTCTTCTTCCTCCTCTTCTTCCAGTTCCTCCTCGTCCTCCTCAGACACCGATTCATCTTTTTCTGTAGCTTCTAAGAAAAAACACACAACAGTGCATCTCAATAACTGGATGTTATAGTCAGCAGATAGACAAAATTACATCTTTTTTTAAAAAAAAAGAAAAAAAAAAAAAAAAAAAAAGAATTGCTACTAGTTCCACTGACAATACAAAACACTTCACAGTTACCTGAGTCTCTTAGTTTGGCAAGCGCCTGCCGCTTTTTTTTCCGCTTTTCTTTCTTCAGAATAGCTCTGTATTTTTGATGGCTGAAAATGAGAGAATATTATTTATGTTAAAACAGTCAAACAAAGGATTTTTACTGTCATACGTGCACTCAATTTACATTAGCAGTAAACCACCCCAACCTGCAAAATTAACAGCTATTCATACAAAACAGTAACTCTACAGGGACATCTGACACGACAATGAAATCTGTAGCTGTGCTGTTAGAGCTGCACATGGACAGCAGCAATGATCACATCTGGACACAACACTGAGGGTCTCACCCTTCTTGAGCTCGGCAGTACTTGATGTTATGACCAACTCCATGAAATCTCCCTTAGTTCCTGAAACTGCCACTAGATTAAGATTAGGGAGAAAAATTTGGGGATCTCCCACCCTATAATTTTGGCACACCTTTCAGCACATCCTAGTCTTCCTCTCTTTTACAGGGTATGAAATTTTAAGTCCCTTCCCTTCTCCCTTGATATTCTCTACAGGCAGCAATCTTAATGTATACATAACAAAAGCACACTTAACAACCACCACAGATAATGCTCAGGTCTACTCTTTTGCTACTGAAGCTTGGCCAGACTGATCCTTGCTTGTCTGAGAGCGCTGCAAGGCTGCCTAGAAACAGCACCATATTTTCATTATGGTTAAAAACCCTCTAAGTATCAAAAAGCCTTTTCATATCAACCCCTTTTCTGTCATTTTTCATTTTAGCTCTCTTCTTTCTAGCCAGTTCCTAACAAAAAAATAGGAGGGAGGGATGATCTTCAACTCTTGTCATTCTGCCATGCCAAATACTGACGGAAGATCAAAATCTTCCTGTTTCAGAGTATGTAATTTTGTAAGATTCCATAGGCGTAACTCAGCCAACATCTCACCCACATCTCCAACCCTTCCATTCACAGTTACTCACAATCTCACCTTCTGCACACCTGTGCATGCCATCAGTAACACCGTGGTGGTTATCCTGGCAGCAGAGCGCTTGCCCTCAAAGACCAATGCCTGACCGCACATCCTGCCCACATCTGAACCTTCTACTTTTGATCAAGCAAGCCTAGCGACTCCTCCTGCAATGTCACCTGCCTGAAATGACTCTCATCTGCTCAGCCAGTGCCTAGGGCTGACAAGCGAGGATAGCTCTCTCCCAGTTCCTGGGCTTTCTTAGGTGCTCTTGAAGCCCAAGGAAGGAAGGGAGAGAGCAACTCCCCTCGCTCCCAGGCCACAGCAGCACATAAGGACGTGGGCTGGCAGCTGAAGGGCCGGAAGCAGCAACGCCCCAGCCGCCTCAGGGCTGGGCCTCGCC